AGATTAAACTTAAAGGCCTGTGTGGCATTCGTTGCAAAATAATGACTTTGAAAATCAGGTACTCCCAAACCATCATTCACTCTGAGGTGTTGCAGTAGAGACAATACTATTTTATATGTAATTTTATATCTTTTAAAAGCAAAATTATAGATATTTGTTGTAAGACTGGTGCCTCTATTAGTCAGCTACCTGCAAACATCTGCCAAAACCCTACCATAGTTCTATCAAGGACAGGAAGCCTTTGACACTCCAGAAGTTTTGGACTATATCTCCCCTGATAATTTGCCTGCATTATGGCTATAAAAACATTATGGGAGATGTAGTCCACAACATCTGCAATGCCGGAGATTACCTTTATTTCCTCTGTAATTATGTGCATACGTGTACATTTGTGTAGTAACATATGCTGTCTTCTCTGATCTCCATCTCCTTTCAGTAATTATCTGAAAGTGTGTGTATGTATGTACTGATGTGTCTGGTAATATATTACACTATTTCTTTCTTTTGTAATTATTTATGTGTAGTTATGTTTATTTGTGGTTGTGCAGCAGTATGTTATATAAAACACCAAGCTCCCTTTCCCCTAACTTGACGTGCTTATTGTACATAATGTCCTCTCAGTGATTATCTATATGTAGTCGTGTGGCTATGTTTCTAATAGTGTGTTCTTTCCACTTGTGTTAGTATATGTGCACGTTAAGCCCCAGATGTGAGCTGCTAATGCTCCGGATCTATTCAGGTTAAGGGAAATGAAGTGCTAGCTACCATTTTCATTTAATTGTATTACTTTTATTCCAGTTATAACTTACAAATATTGGTCTGAGTAAGACCAAAATGGTGGGTGCTATAGTAATGATAGATGAGAGCTGTGTGAGTGGTAAAAGTTATATGGATGGTGTGTAATTGAAAGGTGCCTCATGCAATATTAATGTAGGCCATGTGATTTGCTGCCTAGTGGACATATTGGACCAGTGTTGTTGGTGGATAAATGCATTTGCATGTTTACACCTGCACATAGGACTATGTCAGTGGTTGTAAATGTAACTGTGTGTCTGCATATGGTTTTATTCAGATTATACATTGTAGAGGTGAAGACTGGGAGAGATCACAGAGTAGGTTGTAACTAAAAGTATAAAAGGCAATGAGTGGAGTGCAAGATGATGTTTTATGGGCTCAATATCCAAATAAATGTAAAATATATCAATACACCTGGTTCTGTCCCTGAGATAATTACCTGTAAGTAGTTGTGTGTTTATCACCTGAATGTATTTACCTATCGGTGTTTATGTAGTGCTATTTCTTCCCTGAACTCTGTATTTATCTGTGTGCAGTTATATTAAGAGTGAGCATTTGTACAGCGCTGTGTTCTGTCTGTCCCAAAGCGCCTGCTTTCTCTCCCCTCCATAATTAGCTCCATGTAAATCTTTCTCTGACGACCAATTACAACGTATTAGCATATTCATCTGTTGTGTGTGGGCTGGCATCTGGGGCTGAATGATGTAACACTTGGAAAAGCAAGAGCACAGCTCTCTACGTATATAATGTATTCGTACAAACATATATACACCCTCTATCTATTTATCTATCTATCTATCTATTATCCATTTTATTTATATATATATATATATATATATATAAATTGTTGGACTACTACAAGCGCCATCATTCTAAGGAAGAGATTAAAATAAGTCCTATAAACTCCTTCATGCAGTGGTCCGACAAGTTAAGTTTTGACTAATGCTGTTATGTACATTCCTGTAACACAAACTTGTGCATGCAAACTTCACTGTCATCAGTGCCTGAAAAGTGCTGCCTTTAGCATCTATCATAGTCAGTAGACATTGCGTGAAAAGTGCTGTTCAAGAAATTTGGTGATATTCCTTTAAACATTTTCACATTGTGAGTGCATTCATGGTTCTATTTATAAGCCGTATTTTACTACTGTGGCACCATATATGCTGGCCAAGACATTTGGTGATATGCCGTTAAAAGCATCTCACATTGTGAATGTATTCACGGTAGCACTTAGAGTTTCTGTTTAGACATATTGCCCTATGAGAAGTTTTGCAGTCGTATTTTAGTATCTCCCCTCTCTTGTTATTTGGCGTTTGGAGGATTTAGAGGAGTCCTGGATGTTGTGATATTTCATTGAAAGTTTATTTCAGCCCATCAGGTGTCCATTAAGATCTATTTATCCCTCACATTGTCTTCGTCCTTATCCTGTATGATCATCCAGCCCTCACAGTTACTACAGATTTTTAAACTTCCATGTCTTATTTTACCAAAGCCTTCTTGCTTAACACTTTTTGTAATGGTCCAACACTATAATTTCCCATATTTGCAAAATATCCCAGCATTCATTAAGACAATTATCTAATGTAGTTCTAGAAGAAACTGCCTTACTATACTTTGACTATCACAACTACAGATCTCATCTAAAAATATGAAGTTGCTTTCCTCCTTCAGCTTTCAAAATGTTACAACCTCATACTGCATATTCTACAGTAGCTCCAAAATATCACAACCTCATAGCTTTGTTTCTCCAACGGTCCAACCTCCAGTTCTCATATCAGCAACCCTCTCTTGGAATCATCATATTCATGCTGACTCTAGCCATCTCTTAATTTCTCATAACTCCATGCCTTTTTGCCCTTGTCTTTCCAGAAATATCTGTCAACACCAGCAACTTTTTTTCCTTTGTGGATCTGAAAAGAACAGGGACTCTTTCCTTTCTTAATCCTATAACAAAAGTAAAACAAGAATCTCTGTCACACTTCCTACACCCATTTCTCCAGTGTTTTCTCAACATAAGCATCCACCAATGCTGGCTCCCCTAACACCAGCACCTCCATATCTTGGCATGTATAACAGCAGAACCTCTCTATTCCGGTTTTCACAAAACTAGCATTTATCTAAACCCCCTTCATAGCACCAGTATCTTCTCAAACCATTTAGTAGTGATGTGGTACCTGGTGCCCATGGACTCCAGACACCATGGTTACCTCAGTCAGTTGAAGTTATGGTGCCAACAGTGTTCCTCTAGTTACTTTTCGTAATACCATCTTTCTATCCTCAATCACATAACAAAGGTACATCTGGCTCCCTTTTATATCAAAACTTATTTAAACTAAGATTAATTTAAACCTTATTAACCGAACAAGCTAATGTCAGTTGGCCTGTATTTGTGGGAGTGGTCTGGCTCTATATAACCCCCAACTTACACAATGCTTTTGATTCTTTCCAAGAAGAAGTGAAATACCACATGAGCCATTCAACCTTAAAAGGCAAATTTTAGCTGGAAATCATTTAAAAATCATTTCACCTTTCCCTCACCCTCCCTTCCCCCCTCTCCTTTGCCCTTTTTTTTATCCTCTCTCTATCCCTACCACTCTCTCTTCCCCTACTTCTCACTCCTCCTCTCCCTCTCTCACTCCCTTTCCCTTATCACTCCCCCTGTCCCCACTCTGAGACCCCCAGGCCCTCACACCCACGCACATCGGCCACTCCCACCCACATCTCCACTCAAGGAGACGAACGCCACCACCCACTCCAACCCCTCGATAGCTAAATTGGCACACACCCCCACGCACAAGCAAGCATACCTACAGACACCCATCACCGCACCAATACGATACTACCGACACGAAACGCTGGTGAACCTAAACCACACATACCCCACAGAACCGACCACAATCATAAGCCTATCATCCCACACAGACCACACACCCAATCACACACATCAGACGACACTCACTGCACACCACGAGGACCCCACTACCCCCTTCTATCAGACGAAACAGACCGCAATTACCCTGCCCCTACACCCAGACCAGACCGTCAGACCGTCCAGATCTGAACCACACCAAACTCCTCTGGAAAACATCAGTGATAGACAACACCAACCAACTGACTGCCTCAACAACCGCATGTCCAGCGGTACCCACCACAGGCCAACATGGCACTAAAAGGGGCAAAGCCGACTTCGGCCACTGTCACGAACAGTCTCCACTACACAACGCTACCCCCGGACTTCTCTTTCCGTACCCCTCCTCTCAAACCACCAAACAAGCATAATGTATGACAACAACGAAAGGGGGGGAAAGGACGGGGGGAAAAAAACAAGCAAGCTGTAATTACAAATGGTCACCCACGCACACTTGAGGGATCTGTTTAACTGTCACGTTGATATTACGTCTGTTATATGATGCAAGCATTGACAATTCACACCCCCAGTTTCTTTTTTCTGTACCCACCCCAAAAAGAAGGAGGGAGGGGGAAAAAAAGAAAAAGGAAAAAAAAACCACTAAAATCTTTAAAATAAAGAATTAAAAAAAAAACATATGCTGAAACCACTGACGAATCACCTGCATACCTGTTCGAATTGTATGACTGTCACAATAATTCTCTGTATGTTATGCGAAGAATGTATTATACACTTTAACCCCCTGACTCTTTTTTCTGTACCCCCTTCCCCATAAAACAAAATCTTTAAAATAAAGAATTAAAAAAAAAAAATTGTTTCACAAAAAATGGGGGAAGGGCATAAAAAGCTTATTTGTACTATAACAAAATAAACTGCATTATTCACAGTGCTTACAATGACACTATGGCAGGGTTACTAAGTATTTAATATACATTGTGTTTGCATTGCGTTCTTTTTTATCAGGGAAGGGGTGTCAGAATATGTAACAATACAATATCCAAAAATCGAATACAGTTAGTCAAAAAGCTAGTATGAAAAAAATGGAAATAAAACATCCAGTCTTTCGAAGGTAAATTTAGACTCTTTCGGTTTATTTTTTAACAAAATTGGACTAAAATAAAAGCATCACTGTTTAATCTGAATATCAAATGGGATGGAAATTCTGATTTCATCTGATTAGTTGTTCAAATCTGAAATATAATTGTTATACCCTGATTTATCTCTATTTTTGTAAATGTATCTACATTTTAAATGGCATTAATAAACCATAAAACCAGCCTAGTTTATCTCAGACACTGCCAATAATTGCACAACACATATAACGTGCTAGATTGCTGCATACATGTTATTCAGGACCTTCACAGTTACGCAATGTATGCTTCACAGCGGGTAGCACTGTTTGTGGTGTAAATGTGTGAATATCAGTTTTGTTTGTGAACAAAGGATTTAGAATGTGTAAATGATTGTTCAACTCTCTGGGCTCTATGTGATTTATCGGTAGCACACATCTATGAAAAAAAATATTGTCTGTAAGGGAAGTCATTATGTAACTTTTTGAACAAGGCTTTCATTTATTAAAATAAGACGAGAACAGCTCCTTTGGTGTATTATTTCGCTCTTTCAACATTATATATGGAGTATATAATGTATAAGACTGAAATTTTTTTATGAAAAAGACATTTTCTATTTCTAAATTCACATGAATTTTCATACAATCCTCTCACCAGGGTTTATTTATATACACATTGGAAGACAACTGAATATTACCAAAATTCCTGAGTCAAAGATGGTAATTTGAACACAAAGGCCCTAGACTCATCTCCCAAACCTGACATCAATTTCTGCTGCTATTGTTTTACGAGTTGAATGTAATTACTCAAGGTTCATATATAGAAAGATATTGGTTGAGCAGCAATAAGATGTTATTAGAGGTAGGTCCATCCATCACGTTCACAGCTGAAACATGGAGGGTTATTTACTGAAGTAAAAATTCCAAGTTAATTTCAAATTTAAGGCTAAAGTAGCTGAAGTGAAAGTATAAAGGACTTATAGACTGTTTCATTTTTTTTTACCTTGAATTTTAAATGTTCTCATTAGTGAACAATACTGAAACCTCTACAGAGAGAAACATAACCTCTGAACAAGAAGCAGTCAAACTCTGCAGAGTTTAATACCAGTGTACGAAGAATAGTTCTACGTTAATCTTTGTATACACCCTGTTTCATTGATGTCATGTGTTTTTAAGAAATGTATTTTCCTATTACTTCTATTTTTCACATGCATTATAATCCCCATGGACAACTAGACTTTTTCATTGTCTTTATGAATTATTGGGCTCAAGCAAGAGGCACCTATTGCAGAGATTTAGCAACAGAGGATTCATTCACCATCAGACCTTTTCTGTGTCCAGGACAATAGTACATACCTTACATAGGTTCACGTTGCTGTTCTGGAAGATGTAGAATGGAAGGATCTTCTCTGTTCTTGATATACAGATTAACAGTATATCAAATTGGAGACAGTCTCTTTTTTTTGTATAAAATTGAATTGTAAAATATAGCACTACTTGAGAAACTGCCAAATATTATACACCCAACACAAAAATATTCAAGTGCACATTCTGAATACAAAAACTAAATGTCTCATTTGCAGCATTTCCCCATATTCTGCTTTTTTGTAGCTATGTTGGAACCCACCGGTTTCCATGGGGATTTATTACGTACATATATAACACTAGTGATGCATATTGTGCTGCATATTTCTGGATATAATACACTCGTACAGATTCCAGGAAATTTCTTTATTTAAATGAATATAAACATCAAATCTCAGATTATTTTATCCCCTTTAGCAGCTGCCAGGCTGCCACAGACACAAAATAATTACATCCCCACCCTGACCACCCACCATATAATCTTTCCCTATATATTAACAATAGGACTGGAGAGACATCACCTTCCTCTAACCACAAGGCTTAGCATTACAACTGTGCATCTTTTATGGTTATAGCATCTACATAGTCATCTTATATTAACCTCATTATTCCATTACACCCTTTTGGTAGTTCTTAGGGTCTGTCACTTTCAATATCTCTTTTACTGAACATCCCCTACAGCACACAAATAGTAAAGTGACACTGTCATTAGAAATTGCTTATGCACAATCATATGGTACTATGAAAATTGCCTACATCTTGTATGATAATGATAACTTTTAATTCCGTTTCTCTTTTTTTTCTTAATACATACAAACTGAAGGATTGCTAGCTAACCTTGCGCATGCTGATCACACAGAATCAGCACAGAATTAAAAAAAAAAAACTTTTCCCTCTTTGCTCATGTTGGGAAGCTGGGTGTTAATTTGCAAATCTCCGATTCGGATTGGCTGCTGGTGTCACCTGCTCTCTGCAGCCTTGTCATTGGAAGTTTGGAAAGATGATCATAAAATCGTCACATCTTTAAGTGGTAATTATAGCTTTCTACAGCTTGGTCATAAATATTAAATATTAACCCGCTGGGGTTGTTATTTTAAAATGATTTATGGGGAGAAAATTTCAGTTGACATGAACTCTCTAATCAGTTTTGTGCTGCGGCCATGAAGAGCATTATTCCTATTATCCTTCTGATCCCAGACACTTGCTGTATAGCGATGTGTTAGGACTTACTCTAGTAGAGCCCTGCAGTGTGACTTTTTACACTGACAAGTGCACAGAACACACACATACTGCGTGCGGCACAAACTCCACAAAACAAGGACTGATTGTGTTCTTGTGGCAATTTGCACGAAATGACCAGGAAACAAAGTGTAGCACAAGGGGTGTGATAATAAAGGCTCTGTATGCACATGAAACACACTGTGCGTTTACTCACATGCCAAGATACAGGGCACTCTATTTGTGCACAGGGTGCAGACTGTAAGCACAAACACACAGGATACACACTATGTATGCTCTGTCTTCACTCTAATTCTCGATTTCGGTAGCAGTCATAGAATTACATTCACTTCACAGACACTCTTCATTTGAGTTCAAATATTCTCTCATTCTTACATACCCTCTCATACTCCCTCTCTTGTCATATCTCTGTGGCTAATATGTCCTGGAAGGAGAGCTCCATATCAGGCATAGTGAGGATTGGCCCATCATCCAGATCTTCACCCCCAGTCAGAGCACGCAGCCTTTGCTCTAAAGCCTGGCATCGCTGGCACATATGCAAGTAATTCTGCTGTAGCTGACGCTGGTAGCGGATTACTTTTTCCTTCTCATCTCGCCAGGTCTTGCGCTCCCGCTGGAACACGTCTGTCATCTGCTCATTGTTCTGTCTTTCAGCCTCCAGCTCTGTTCTTAGGGTTTCCATCTCAGCTTCACTAGAGGCTGTCTCATCCCTTTCTTCCCGCTCCTCCTCTGCAGCCCGCAGCCTTTCCTCAGCTTCCCGTGCCCGCTGTTCCTGGGATTCAGCTCTTCCCTTGGTTTCCCGGAGCTGAGCCTTTAAACTGAGGATCTCACTGGCTCGGAGAGAAGACTCCTCCTGAGTTTCCCGTAACTGTTGACGAAGAGAAGCAATTTCTCCAGATTTTTGACATACCTATAGAAGAAATAGGGAACATGATTTTTCTATTTTTCTATTTTTCCTTTTTCTCTGCTATACATCAAATTCATGCATAGGTTAATCCTGCAAAATGTTCTCTCTGTCAAGCATACATTATTGCATCTATACCTACATTGATGCATTTTACCTGTTTGTGTTTCTGTTGTTTAATCTCACATCTATTACTACCTCTCATGTGATAAATCATTTATTCTCTCCTTACTCTTCAAAAGTGCCTATTTTTCCTTGTCAGTAATGGCTTTGTTAGGTCTTCTCTCATCATGTCATAAACTCAATTTTCCTTTAAATGTCACTCTACTTACCTCCCATTGTGTTTCATCCATTGATGGACTGATGGTGATTTTCTTCTCCTTTTCATATACACGCATCTTATTCTCCTTGGCTTCTCTCTCTTGTGCCACCTGGATCTGTAGTACATGCTGCCCTCTTTGGCCTCTCTGCGAACTCTGTCTAGACCTAGGTATGCCTCTGTGTCCTTCCTCATTGCTTTCACCAGGCTCAGCTCGTGTGATATCGTCACAGGATGGCGGAGATCTGAGCCCTGGCTTAGGTGGTACACTAAGAATCTTGTTTGCATTTCCACCATCTGAAAGAGACATGGCTCTGAGACTCAGCATATTGCTTCTGGAACTCTGGGTGATGTTGTGGGCACTGCCCCCAAATCTTCCAGTTGGCATCAGTAGGGCGTCCAACTGGCATGCTGTGCCCAGTTTACTAGGATGAGTGGGAAGGCTGGACATGGAGTTTCTACCAGATTCAGACATGCCTCCAATACAATGCCCTCCACGACTTTCTGCTTCACGTACTCTGTCTGGACGGTAGTAATGGGAAAGCTGAGGTCCCCTCTCTTCAGCTGGATAACATGTGACAGCGGAATTTCTGCGCATTCCAGGTTTCAGTGGAGTTGGGCGGAGGGCATTCATTTCCTGAATTTGAGAAGAAAAATATTATTTGAGTGTATGTTTCCTTTCTCACATACATTTTCCTAACATTTCCCTTACTTGTACCGCCCACTTACCCTTTTCAATTCACTTACATTATAATTTAAGTTGTTCTTGTATCTTCTTCATACTTCTTAAATTGGATTTTCTCCTTCCCTAAATTCCTTCCTCTTTACTCTAGATATGTTTTCCCCTATTGGCCTTCTCAATCTGTACACTTCTGATCCATTTCACAGCACACCAATCCCACTTCTACCTATTAAGAATTATTTTTTTAACAGTCCAATACTTTATTTGCCCATATGTGCAAATCTACTTCAACGCCTACTACACCATGTCTACAAAACCAAAATTATTGCTTTAGCATAGCTTTGTGAAATGTAATCCTTATAACTTTGATCCTGTATATATTTAATAGCATTAGTTTTGCAAACTTTGACTACGGAGTACCCTTTGGATCTTAAATAATGTGGTGGGACCATAATTGCTAAAATTTGAAGTTTTAAGCCCCTGGTCACTATACCATCAGGTTGATCAGGCCCAAGGTCTCAAATCAATTTGATGGAACCTCAATCCCATGGCCCCTTACAAACAGATCCTATGTTACCTCTGTTAACACTGTTAACTCCATAGCTCATTTTCCACTGTATTCAGCTCTATCCTTACTGCAAATTTTTCTTTGCTGTCATCCTCTTTTTCAATACTCTTTACATATCTCATCTATGTGTTTTCCCCCTATTAAATTTATCTCGTTCTTCTTTTGTATTACACACCTTTAATATCTTCTTTCCACTCACACTTTCTTCCATTACTTTCCTTGCCTTTATTTCTTCTACATTCCCACCCTCTATTTTAAAATTCTTTTTGTCTCATTTATAGGTTTTTATCTCTTTCCAGACTCCCCTTCTCTTACACTAATCTAACCTCTTACTCTCTTTTCCATAGATCTCCATACATTTTTAATACTCTCTTCCCCTTTTCTACCCTTAACCCATCCTATTACAAGTTCACACTTATTGCATTTCTCACCATACCGACTATTAGATCCCTCATTCCATTTTCATTCTATTCTTCTA